GAAAGAAAGAAAGAAAGAAAGAAAGAAAGAAAGAAAGAAAGAAAGAAAGAAAGAAAGAAAAAAAGAAAGAAAGAAAAAGAAAGAAAGAAAGAAAGTAGAGTGATACTGGGGCTGGGACTCTGCAAACCACATTTTCCTTTGTCAGTAGATTATTAGAGCCAATTAGCCTCTGCAAATTGAGAGTCCGAAAAGGAGAGAAGAAGGCATGAAAAAGAAGAAACTTGCTCCTTTCAATTTTTATTTCTGTCTGTCGGCATCACCCACAGAGTTTCTTTACTCTGGCGGGGAAGCTGGTTCCAGTTTCCAATTTTGTTTTGTTTTCCCTTACTCCTAGAAGAGCCTTGTTGCACCCTCTCAGGGATACCAGCATCAGCCGACCTCTCTCCTCAGTGGCTGAGAATCATTCTCCAAGTCTCTAGATGGAAGTACCCCACCCTTCTGTGTGTTCCCCTAGCCCTGTGGATGGCAGCTGTACATTCACTTTTCATCTCTGCACTACTTCTTGTTCTCTTTTGCCTTTTCAGTACTCGACCACCTGCTTAGTCAATTTCTTATATTATTCTGTCTGTTAAAATTACTGATGTGGTTTCTGTTTTTCTGACTAAAAATTGACCAATAGAAAGCCAAAGTCTTTCCTATGCCCTACAAAGTCCCCCATGATCTGCTCTCCTCACTACTTCTGACCTCGTCTCCTGCTTCTCTTTCTCCTCACTCACTCTTTTTTTTTCCCCCACCCCAAAGCCCCATTGCATAGTTGTACATCCTGGTTGTAGGTCCTTTTGCGTCTTCTACGTGGGACGCCGCCTTAGCATGGCTTGATGAGCACTGAGTACCTCCCCACCCAGGATCCAAACCAGCAAACCCTGGGCCGCCACATCGGAACGTGTGAACTTCACTGCTGCACCACCAGGCCAGACCCTCTCCTCACTCACTCTGATTCACAAGAAATACAGAAGATAAAGGAACATATTAAATCTCACCACAGGGATATAGCCATCAAAATTCAGAATGTGGGAAAATCTATTGGACAAATAACCTAGTTTCTCCAACAAATAAAATGCAAGAGGAAAATACACAATGGAGGGGTAACCTCTAGATTAGAGGGGCCTTAAAACTTATCAATCAGCGGCAATATGAAGACCTAATCTGAGCCCTGATTTTATTTATACATATTATATATATGATATCATATATACGTATACATATATACAAGATAATTGGGGAATTTGATCCATGACTGTGTGTGAGATATTACAGAATTAAGACATTGCCGTTAATTTATTTTAGATGTTAAATGGGATTGTGGTTACCTTTAAAGAGTCCTTCCCATTTAGAGATACATGGAGAAATATTTATGGATGTATTGATGTAATAATATATGGGGGGCAGGGAATAGATGGCGCACAGATGTGACAACATTGGCCATACACTGATCATTGTTGAAGCCAAGTGTCTCAGTCAATTCGGGCTGCTATAACAAAACACCACAAACTAGGTTGCTTATAAACAAAAAATATTTATTCTCACAGTTATGGAGGCTGGGAAGCCCAAAATCAAGGCACCAGCGGATTCATTGTCTAGTGGGGTATCTGTCCACTTTCTCATCCACAGCAGTCTTCCTACTGTAACTCACATGGTGGAAGGAGCAAGGGAATTCTCTTGGGCCTCATTTGTAAGGGCACTAATCCCATTCTCATTCATGAGGAGACTGTTTTTATGACCTAATCACCTCCCAAAGACCCCATCTCCTAATACCATCACTTTGGGGTTAGGTTTCAACATATAGATTTGGGGGGGACACAAACATTCAGCCTATAGCACCAAGTAATAGGTAGAAGGGATTCATTTTATTACATAAAGACTAGGTGGTTTGTGTGTTTAAAATTTTCCATTTGTCTTCAAAATCTAAGGGTCTACCATGTGAGGGAGGTAGGTCAAAGAATGGCTCACAGATCTCCAGAAACACCAGAAACCATTGTTGAGAATCATATAGTGCAGTGGTTTACAGTAGTTCAGACTCTGGAAACAACACCTGGGTCTGCCCCCATCTATCTGTGTGACCGTGGACTTCACTTCTCTGTGCCTCTGTTTCCTCAGATGTAAAGTGGAAATAATAATGGTATCTACCCTATGGAGTTGTCGTGAAGATTAAATGAATTAATAGTTAGAAAGCACTGTCTTAGAACATCATCTGGCCCATAGCAAGCACTCAAAAAATGTCAATTATTATTACTATTCTTACACAGATAAACAAGTTGAAATGAACCACTAGAGTCTTGAAACACAAGTATCCAAAATATGTTTTTAATCTTGATGAAGTTCACAAATGGCACAATATTGACATTTCCTTAAACAAATTATACAATCATGTTCTTAGACAACAAGGCATAGACATCATTACCATGTGTCCCAAGAGACCACAAAAGGCAGTGATTTCAAGTCCCCTAAGATTTGTCAGAACTGCTGTGATCAACAGAATAGCTCTCAAAGAACCAATTTGCTACCAGATGAGAGAGGCCATCACATTTACTGCACATAGAATCAAATATAAAAAGGATGCACAACAAATATGGAATTAGCTTATTTTGCATTCAGTTTCATTCCTTTCAAGAGACAAAGGTGCTTTTTTTTGGTATCTATTAGGATGCAAACACGTATATCTTCCACGGCGCCTTCTCACCAAGTTGTTGTCAACAGAAATTAATAGAAGTGGCGAGTTCAGCTTCATGGTAACCTGAGATGAAAATAAAATAAAAAAGAAGAGGAAGAAGAAGGAGGAGGAAGAGGAGAAGGACAAGAAGGTAATAATCACAATTATTACTGAAAATAACACGAATTTACAGATGTGCTTCTTTAACTAAACAACATTTACAAATTATGGATATGAGATGTAAGCAAGCTTTTAAGGCAAATGATAATAAAACAATTCAAGGGTCACTCTTAATATTAGCAGTGACATTATGAATTACAGCCCTCTGGTCCGACCCTATGAACACTGATCAAGGGTTGAGGGCTTTCTGAACCTGGGTTCGTTCATGATGAGTTGCCCTGGCTAAAGTTTGCAAGGCCCTCCCTTTCTGAATCCAGCAAGCATTTTTTTTTCATTTCTCTGCTCAGAAAGATGATTCTGCATCTCTGCAGCCTGTCTTAGTGCTCCGGTTTCAAGCTGAGTTATAGAAGGAACTCATGACCTCAGGAGCAATGATGTAATCGGAGAGAAGGGACCTGAAGAAACTACCAGGTCCAGAGGGTTTCAAAATGTGGATTGTAGCCTCCAAATCCCTTCCCCTCCCATCTGACAGTACGAGGGCGGTCACCTTCTTCCTGGAGCCATTTCACTGCTCAGGCCTGAAGGTCCCTGCGGCGCCGGCCAAAGGCTTCGGAGCCCACATTGGTGGGCACGAAGTTGCTCTTCACCACACCCCCAGATCTGCTCAGCAAGCCTGCCAGCCGATGGGTCACACAGGTGGCAGTGTTGCAGGATCTCTTCTGGGCAGTGAGGCTGATTTTCAGGATGAAGAAAAAGAGAAGGCCTGTCAGTGAGAGGCTGGGGACAGGAGCCTGCCCCATGGGAACTTCATAAAGAAAATTGCAGCTCTTTGACACACCACTTGAGAATAAGTGTTTCTCCTCAATGCAATTATCAAAGCTGTTAGGGGAAACGGCCTGGCAGCCTTTGCCAGGAGCCCTCCCCAAAGACCTTCATGAAAAAATCCAGTTCCAAGCCATGGGCCATGTGCTGAAACCCTGCACTTATCATCCCTTACATACAGTCCCTTTGGGACCGGGAAGGAGTGGTCAGCAAAGGCCCAGCCCCACCCCAAGACACACAAGGACCACATAGAGGCCATACCTCAGCCATGAGCCCCAATGATACCACTTTCCATTGAAAAATGAAAATTCCCTGAAGTCTTACCTGAAACAGGCTCAGAGAATAAGGTTTGCAGCATCCTCCCCTGGAAGTGCTTACCTGCCCCTCGGCACACCTGTTCTTGATGCTGGAGCTAGTTCACAGGGACCACTCACCAAGCCCTGTATCAAACCACCCTGAGGCCAAGCCTACCTTTAAACATAGGCCCTGGGCACTCTCAAGCCTTGGACAGAGACCAGAGGAATGACCACCAAAGGAGCAAATCCTCTTAGAAAATAGACTTATTCATCAATGATGAGGCATGAGGGATGAAGCAGGGATTGGAGGGCTCTGCCATGAAATCCTCTGGGATCTCAAGAAGCTTCCCTCACTCTCTCTTATCTCTAACCTGGTCTATGAGTCCTGCTGTCTCCCCTTCCATCCTGAGATCCTTGATATTCTCTGTCATAAGCAAAGCTACCAACACCAGCTTGAAGAGCGATCAGAATGAAATCTGCATGCATTAAGTTCATCAGTGGAGCAAGAAAGGAAATCAGGAAGGAGTGGGAGGAGTTCAGTTGGCATCCTGGGGCGCCCCAAAGTGAGGGTAGTGGTCCCTCTCCAAGATGCTGGCTATGTCCCTTTTCTTATCAGGTATTTCAGCCCCAAAGCCAATGCCAGAGAACGTATAAAGTTGTTGAGGTCCTTCGAGTATGTGCCCAGCACACAGGTACTCAGATTACTATACCACTTAGCTCTGGGGCTTTCCAGGCTGCAGGGAAAAGATATGCCAGGTGGTACCATGCACTGGGTCTGCCCCTGCAGGCAGTCATGCAGAAGGTTAGACCAGGGAGAAGTCGCTTCGAGTGGAGGCAGGAGGGCAGCTCACACATCGTCTGTTAGGAGAACTCAGAGGTTCGCTGAGCCAGAGCGGTGTGGGGAAGGGCTGTGGTGGAGCAGCTGGGGCCTTTTCTGGCCTTCCACAAACTGCTCAGTCCTTCATGCTCTGCAGAGAGGGTCTCAGGGCGGATGCAGGTGCAACACGTGCCTCTACCCGGGCAATGCTGGGGCCAGGCCCGGGGCTGGAGAGTCTCCAAGCTCAGGGTGCACAGGGAGGGAGGGCTGGGAAGGGTGTCTGGCCCCTGACAACAGGCACATCTCCACAGAGCCTACACATCTCAAGACCCCAGACCTACCTCAGACACTGCTCTACCCGACCCCACCCTCTGCAAGGCCTCTGGCTTCACCTTGCAAATGTGCAAGGAAGGCGCCTTGTAGGTGAGAGAGAACAACACACACAGGTTAAACTTCTAAAACATCCTGAGATATACTGGGTCCAGCCCCTGGCTTCACACTTATCAGTCCTCACTCCTCCCGTGCTGGGAGGTCTCCCCAGTAGGGCAAGACCAATCCCCAGAGTAAGCGATTCCACACCTCCCCACTTCATTTCCTGACAGCTTTCAGGAATGGATCTTTTTAATGTGTCTAATCACAGTCCCTCCAGCAGCACCTGGACCTCTGTCTTCCATGGAGCCTGAGAACTGCTGGAGCCCAGGGCCTGGTGAACGACAGCCTGCTGGACTCCTGGCCAGATGTTTTTCCTACCTCTCGGGATATGTCCTCCTGGATATGCCAGGGTGGGGTGGGGAGCCTCACCTGGAGCCCTCCATCTCCTGCTCCTGATCCAGCTCATCGGTCTTCCCCTGCACATAGGCCTTCACCAGTGCAGCCAGCAGGAGGCGCCCTTCCTTCTCACTGAGTGCAGTGGGGTCTGCGAGGCTCTCCAAAGCGGACCTGGGGAGCGGAAGCAAACCCAATACAGGCTCTGAGCCTCTGTCTGCCCCCTCCCCATGATAAGCTTCCAGGCTTCCTGGTCGCTGTGACTTCCCCTAAGGATATGCCCACCCCACCCCTACCCCCCACCCTGGCTCCCAGCCAACAGGGCTCAAGGCCAGTGTCCACCTGATTCACCCGGAGCCTTGCTGCTGTGACTTTGGAAGCACAGAAATGCCTGATCCCAGGGTAACTGGAAGGGGAATGCTCTCGGGGCTTCAGGCTGTCTCACCTGAATGGTGCCGCCTGGAGGCTGCCTGCCTGGCACAGGACCAAGATGCTGAAAGCCAGGAAGGCGGAGGACTTCCCGAAGCCCATGATGCCTCTCTGTAAAGGGAGAATGACGTTACTGCTGCACGGAGACCAAGCACTGCCTGGAGACCACAGACCTAGGTTCCAGTCCTGCCTCTGCCACGATGGCCTTGTGACCTCAGGAAGGTTACCCCACCTCCCCATGCCTCGGTTCCGTTCATTTGCCAGATGGGCTGCTGTGAATCTCAAAAGATAACATTGCAGTGAGTGGCTTGGTAGAGCAGAAACAGGTGTGCTGGAGTGAGGGTGGGAGGATTCTGGTTCGGTTCTGTGGAAAGCCAGGGAGAAGCCTAACACGCACGCATGCACACAAACCCACACCTTTTGCCCTGTGCAGAAACCAAGCACCGATCCACCCTGCTGCAGACTTGCTCTCCCATTGCGCCTGTCTTCTCAGGACCACCTTACCCTTGGCGGGACTTTGCACTAACGCGTGGGAGAGGAAAGCGGAAGGGTGAATTGAAAGCAGTGCTCATCTCTCAGTCCATGAGTTTGGATTTGGGGACATTTTTAACGCGCCCCTTACTGGTGTCCCTGGGTTCTGCCCGCACAGCCCGCCTCTGCTGGAGCACAGTTTAGCTGCAGGTGCTGGGCGCCAGCACCCCGAGGGGAGCCCACTATCCTGGTCCGCTGACTGCACTGCCCCAGGTCCGCGCCAAAGCCCCAGGGACGCTTGCGGGCTGGAAGCGCCTTAGAGGAAGGCTCAGGGCTCCACCGTCCCGGGAGCCAAAAGTGATCCCTGAGGACACAAACCGCGCAGGGTTCTCCCAGACCAAAGTCAGGCAGGATCCTGCGCGCCAACGGGCACCAAAACAGAGGCCGCAGAACCGCCTACCCAGGCTCGCGGAGCTTCCAGCGCCCAGGCAAAGCCCTGGGGATTCTAGGGGTTCCACTGGCACTACTTAGAAGAAAATACTCTGACAGCCCCAACCGCCCGCCTTCTCCTGAGTGGGACACAGAACTAGGAGCACCTGGCTGTAGGTGGGCCGACATGGCCATGAGAGGCAAAAGAAAGGCAGGCAGGCAGATGAAGCGAACTGGATAAACTAACCCAGAGGCGGTTTCTTAGAGTGAGCAGAGTGGCGAGTTCCTCACCTGGTGACCCGAGTTTCAGCAGAGCGCGAGCGGCCGGTCCACCCGGATGGACACAAAGCCTGCTGTGGGCGTCTTCCCCGCGGAGCTCTCGGCTCTTATTCCAGTGATAGTGGGAGGGGGGTCCCCGCGAGCCCGCGCGGCCAATCCAAAGTGGCCAGGACCGACCAGGCTCCGATTGCGTCATTGCTCGCGCTGCCCCCACCGGTCCACTAGGGAGGGGAACCATCCGCTTAGGCTGTCATTTGCAATGAGGTCATTGCTTAAGGAGCGGGAGGGCTGGGAGAGGGTGGAGAGCCTTAGACGTCCAGAAAGTGCGGGCAAATCGGGGAGAGTTTGGCGTCACCGACAGAGAGGGGCCAGAGCTTCTCGCACTTTCTCGGTGCCTGAACTCCGGCCTCGCACCCTCTCCTGCCACGCCAGTACGGACCCCGACCCCGGCCCGGCCACCTGCACCCCCAGGAGGTTAAACAGTTGCCCTGGGTCCTAAGGGATCTCAGCTGAAATAGCCCACGGTGGAGGAAGGGGATAGTGGGGGAGAGGGGCCTTGAGAAACGGATCTCTTTGGACCACTCGGTGTACTCCTGGGATATCCTCCGCTCCCTTACCCCTCGCCCTGAATCCCTGGGTCCCGCAAAATTGTTTTGCTTCCTGTCTAGCAGCCAAGCTTCCTTCACCTCACTCCTCTGGGACGAGTATGAGTGAGAGAGGACTGGGGAGGGGGCTAAGCTGGCACTGCCTGAACAGAGGGCTAAGCATCCCCTCTTACCCCAGAATCCTCGACTGCGGGTTCGTCATCCCCCACCCTAACCCAGGACCCTCCACGGCAGCGCCGGCGTTGGTTTACACAGCTGCCCGGCGCCTCTGGCTTCGGTTTGCCAAGCTGCTGGGCCGGACAGCCTATGCGGGTTTGCCCGGGTTTCTACCTGTCTCGCCCCGCATCCCCGCCCCACTTCCCTGAAGCGCTTGATTGCTGAGTGGGCCGGGGTCCAGGGCCGACCCACCCAGGAAAGCAGGTGCTGCAAACCTGCAGCTTTTGGACTTGAACACAGGCGCCACTCGCAGGTACTGGCGGGGCTGTGCGCGCACTTACGCTTCCCGAGGGGCGCACGTCCCGCACACGTATACTTGGACTCCAGCCACACGTACTGTCTTTCGCATTCACATACGGACGCTCGTGTAGATAGCCAGTACTCCCTGCAACAAACGCGCCCTCACCTGCTATTCGCAAATGAGCGCGCGCGCACCAACCCAAACCAACCTCGCCCAGACCCGAAAGCAACCCCTTGCGTTTCTGTTTGCAGAACAGGCACGTTTTATATACACAGGGGTACACATTGTCCCCCAAACACGCACATAGACACACGAACGTCCACGCCTCCGGGCTCAGCCTTTTCCTTTTTTCTTAAGGAAAACCGAGTTCTCCGAGTCCCGCGCTGAGGGCGCTCGTCGCATCCGGGCTAGGGGAGAAGATCCCAGGTCTTGCCGACGGGGCGTAGAGAGGGCTAGGAGGTAGAGGCAGTGGGGAAGAAGTACAGGAGAGCCACCCACCCTCAGGGCCTTAGCCTGGCGTGGTGGCTCCGCCGCTGCGCCCCCGAATGCTCCCGCTTGCCTCTTGAGCTCAGGAAGCCTCGCCCTGGCATGCGAAGCTAGAGGTTCGCGGGGTCCCCGTGGTTGGTGCTTATTGCGGCTGCAGGTCAGAAAGGAGCTCTGGGGATGTCTGTCTAGGCCCTCCGGGTCTTATTTTTTGTGCCGGACCACGCTTGCGGTGCGCGGCGGGGTTGTCCTCCAGCACCTGGTCAATTGGAATTTCAGGTAACATCCTCAGAGAATCCTGACCGCCGGCGCGGGCGACTCTTGGCGGACCAGCTACCACAGCAGGCAGAGTGCACGGACGTTGCATGACCCTGAGTCGCCTCTGCCCGCAGGAGTGCTGCTCGGCACCTAGAACGTGGCTCCGGCTGTGGCGGACGGGGAAACAGGACAGAAGACTCCCAGAACCCTTGTAATTCCGTATAAGGAAGCGCTGCTCTCTAAGGGGTTCCTCTATAATAGTGGGAAAGTCTCTCTGCGCCCAAATTGTTGGGCTCGCTTTTGGATGCAACCAGGGACACCGAGGCGGCCTTTACTAGAGGGCCCTAACTCCCAAAGTCCTGAAGATACCAGGGGACACTTCTGCATCACTCTCCCCGATTCTGCCCGGGGAAAGGAAAGGCGCAGCTTGGAGGCGCTACCTGCCTAACACCTCTCCCGGCTACACCGCCTCTTCCCAGACCACTGCCACCGTCCCCGAGGTCTGACAGAGCTTGTGGCCCGCCCCAGCAGCTCCACAGAGCTGTGGGGACACAGAGAAATAGCTGGGCCAGCGTGGGGGGCAGGGGGAAGGCGGGGTCAGAGAGAAGGTCTGGAAGGCCCCAGACCCTAGAACTCCAGGCTCCCTAGCCTCGACAAAGTTATCAGTGGCGCGCTGAGCCAAGGAAGCCGGCTGGGAGGGAAGGAAAAGTCGGATTGGAGTTTGGCCTCCCCAGAAGCCCACAAATATCAATGTGGGGGGAACTTTAGTGCTGAGGGCTGGACAGCTGGAGACTCCGTCTGCGTCACTAGGACTTTTCGGAAGTGTTGAGGCCAAGAGCCGTGCTGCCAACGAGCCGGGCACAATCTTCGAGCGCGCACTCCCATCCAAAAGCGCGCGCTGGGTGATCCACAATCCCGCGCAGAGCTCTAGCCTGGGGTAAAGTCGGCAGAAGTTTCTATAGAGGCCGCCAAGACACGGGTCCCTGCGCTCTGACAAGATAGAGCGCGCACCCTACCAGAGACTGATCTTAACACAAATATGTCTGGCTCGGCGCTTTGAATATCTTCTTGGGTGCTCCGACAGTACCAGCTATTTTAGCTCTGAGCACCGAGAATTCTTTGACCTAATCTTTTTTCTCCACTAGTGTCTTTACCCGTGTCTGGCGCGTAGTAGATGCACAGTAAGTGTTTGGTGAAGGGGAAGTGAGCGAAGGGATGAATGAATGATAAGTTACATGGACTCATTACTGTAAGAGTCAGCGGGAAATCAGGAGCCAGGTAAAATTGGGCTGTAGACCAAACTTTATATCCGTTAGATGGAAAAGCAGATCGTCGATCCAAAGACACACCTCTTTTTATTTAATAAAAGGAATCTGTCCTGGTGAAAACTTTCTGGAATCTAATGCGAGAGGAAGTACTGAGGGCTTCTCTTCGGAAGTCCACCAACTTGAAAAGCAAAACAAGCCAGTTTCCCTCAACTCATCCTTGTATTATATTAGTGAGTAAATGGAAAAAAAAAGTAAATAAAATAATTTGCTTTCTAAATCGAGAAAATTACATTTTGATTTCCCTGGAACTGTTCTGAGCTTCAAGACATCCCCAAAGTAAGTAGCATAAGGATTGACAGAGAAGAGTTTCCCAGGAATATCTTTTGCTTTTAAATTGTCTCAAATATTTTGATGCTGAGTTATCTATTTTATGTAATTATTCTAAATTTCAAAAATGATAGTCTTAAAATTTGAGAGAAACAGGTTTCATACACTATAGTTTTTGAAGTTTATTTTTATTTACTTTAACTTACTCTCTGTTTTCATTACAAACTTCCTAAGAGGAATATTCCTTAGAGGAATGTGTCATTCATTCAACATATATTTATTGAGGACCTACTATGTGCCAGGCATTGTTCTAGGCACTAGCAATTCACAGTGAACAAAACAAAAACCCCTGCCCTCCTGATGCTTATCTGACAAAGATGTATTTAACAAGAGTCCTGTCTATCAACCTCCACCCAAATAAAACACATCCCTATCCTACTCACATCCTCTCTATTTAGTAATATCATCTATTTGTCAAATAGATATCCAGGGTCTATATTATTAAGACCACGTAAATATTATTCCTAGCTGAGCCAGATCGCATATTTTGATTACATTTCCTTGTACATTTGTTTTATTTTTAGTTAGTAACTCCCTCTTTTCATTTGTTTAATTTTCTTTCTGCCCATCACTTGTTTATTCCTTTTCCTAGATCCTATTTGTTCTTCATCCTTGGTTTACTCCCTCATTTTGTTGGAGCACATTCACCATTATATGACAGCTAGATTTTGTGGAAGTAGAATTAATTCTAGGTTGGAAATCATTTTCACTCAGAATTTTGAAAGTATTCTTCAGTCTTCTATTTCCGGTGGTGCCTTAGTGTGGGCTATTTTTACTTATTGTCCTGAGTACTGAGAGAACACTTGCAATCTGAAAATTCATGTCCTTCACTTCATGGAAACTTTCTTGCTTTATTTCTTTGATAATTTCCTCCTCTTGGTTTTTGTTTGCTGGGGTTTTTTGTTAAATTTTCTGGGGTACTTTTTTTTTTCCAATTTTCCTTTTTTTCATTCATTCATTTTGATCATGTTTTTAATTTCCAACGTCTTCTCTTAGCTCTTTGAAGCTGTTAAACATAGGTTATTTTGTTGTTCTCACTTTAGAGGCTAGCCTCACATTTCTCCTTGGCTGCTGATTCATATTTAAGAGGAAAGTAATACAGTGCTAATCAGAAGATGGGGATGGCAGAGTTGCCCACTGATGGGTCTGAATATGGAGTGATTAGATGGGAAGTGACCTTGCCATTTTATTGGAGGGACCCTAAACTATGAGTAGCTGTAAGTCTTTTCCCTTGACTTTTTGTTCACCCTAAGAGGAGTCCTCCAGTCTCCTGCATGGGTCAGTGGGACAGGGGTTGGGGTGGAGTACAAGCCAATGAGTAAGGAAGGAGGCTGAGAGTTTTACCATTCATTAGGGTAATCCTCCAGCCTTTTCTGGGACCCAGGAGGGATAGCCATCTAACTTCACAGGATATAGAAAGGGCTCTTGGGTCTAACTACTCCTTTGAAAGTCTTTCAATCACTCCAATTTTCAGCCCATCCTGTAACTCCACCAACAGAGGCAATCAATTGCTAAAGCCCTGAGCTTGTCTGAGATCCTTGCTTCTTGATGGCCTTCTCTGCCCTACTAGAGTTGACACTAGAAATGTATGTCTTTACACTGCTTTCTCTTCTGCTAAACCAGT